GCAAAAACTCCTATTCCCTTTCCAAATGGACTCTGAGCATGAGGGCTGGTGTGTCTTCCATGCCCCCATAGCCACTGCCCCTCCCCATCCCTCTACTGCATTCCTGCTACCTGGTGTCTTGGAAAAACCAGAGCCTTGCCCTGGGTCCCAGCTGGGAAGGACTGTGTTGGGAGGAAGGTCCTGCTGGCAGGCTGTCCTCAGTCTATGACTGTCACTGAAGGTAATCTTCAGAGGAAAGTCCCTGCTCTTGTAAGGGAATTGGGGAGGGGGAAATCGCACCCGTTGGGTCTCTAGTGAACTCAGAAGCCTAGGATCAGGAGGCACGAGGACCTCACTCCTTTATATTTAGTTCACATATGCACCCCCCAGGAAGGCCCAAGGAGTTAGATACAAGGCTTACGTCCACCCCAGGGAGCCTGACAACTGGGCAACCCTAGTCTCCTTGACATAGTTAAGAAACATGCCCATCCGGTGGAGATGGGAAGGCATATAAGTGCCGTGTGTGGTTACTCAGCTGCAGCAGTGATTCCCCAGAGCGATGCTACTCCTTCCCAGGCCTCCTTGGACAATGGGAAACACCCTAAAATCCCAAAACGCAAATGCAACTCAGGCCCATGGGGACTGGGCTCTTTCTTGAGCAACCCACCCTCACTCCCTTGACTCTGTGGGAGTCCCCCCAGTCCTCTCAAGTTTGGTTGGTTTTCTCATTCCTTTACCAAAGCAACAGCCTTCCCAGCAGGTCTACGGTTGTGGGTAATCCTAACTCAGAGAGCAGTAGGGTCAAGTTCCTGGAATTTGGTCCATGGGTGTCTCCTCGTGGGGTTCCTCCCTGAAATTTGGGCTGTGTTTGGACTCCGTGAATATTTGTCTTGGTTAAGGCTTGAGCACCAGAGAATCCTGAATGCTTTGGCAAAGGCTGCGCCCAACGTGGGGCTCGAACCCACGACCCTGAGATTAAGAGTCTCATGCTCTACCGACTGAGCTAGCCGGGCGACTCTCCTGCAACATCCCTCAAAGGCAGAGTGAGGCACCCTGGGAGAGGAAGAACCCGCCTCCCCCCCCAAGGCCAGCACTCTCTGCAGTGCGCGTTCCTCAGGTCCTCGGGATTGGAAGCTCCGAGGGGGCAGGACCGCCTGGCCCGAAATTCAGAGACATTGGCAGGGAGGGCGGCACGCTGACCCAGACGGAGGCCCAGGGGTGCGGCTGCGCTGGGAGGCCGAGGCCTGGTGGCACCGAGTCACCGGAGACCCACTCTCAAGTCCCTGGATCCAGAACACGGGGTGGCACGCTAAACCGCCTTCTTCTCTCCCAGGTCTGGGATGGAACCGAAGCTTCCCCCCTAACTGTGCCTCCCTCCTGGGAGATGGGAAGCTAGGGACCCTCTTGCAGAGGTCAGGATCACAGAGTCAAGGTCACCAGGGATAGGTAGCACAAGGCATCCTTCTGTATAATGGCTCCTAGGAGAATGGTTCCCCTGGGCCTGCGAGAGCTCCTGGGTCCAAATCCCAAATGAGTCTTACTTTCAAACTCTCAAATGTCTCCTCCTCCTGCCTCCCGCCTCGCGTACCCTCCACCCCACCCCACATCCCGCTCTAGGGCGGGCAGCGTGGCGTGAACGGGGAACACCCAAGGAACCCCAGGACCCACGGGGTGCGGCGCAGGGTCGCACCTTCTTCCTTCTTCCTTTCCAGTTGGCTTCTGGAACCTTCGCCCGTCCATGAGGGAGGACAAGCGTGGCGCCCCGAGGCCCCGAGCGTCGGTCCAGCCCAGGGATACCCCTGCGGGGGAAGGGCTGCCGGCCAGTGCCGGGACAAGGAAAGGAATTTCGGGGGACACAGAGGCGCGCGGAGGCTTTGGGGGCCGCGCCCAGGGGAGGGTGGGCTTGGCCGAGGATAGGAGCCTCTGGGTCTCCTCGGACTCCGGCTTTGACCCGAGGCGCATGGCCGGGGCTGGCGGGTTGCTTGGGCGGGAATTCCTTAGTCCCGGGTTTGGGTCCCACAGGGAACCCCCACGGGGTCCTGAAGCCGCGCCCAGCTCCTCAGCAGCCCAGGTCCCCGCGCCTCAGCTGGGCCAGAGGGAGGTTCTGGTGGCGGAGGCGCCGGGGGATCGACCGGTGGACTCCGGGACGCGCCGTCGAACCTCCCTCCTCTCTGGGACGCGCAGTCGAACCTCACTCGTCTGTGGAAACAGCCGAATCCTCCCGCCACGTGCTCCTCCTCTCGGGGCGGGCCTCTGGGACACTGCCCCAACTGAGCGAGCGCGGAGCAAGTGGACGGAATCAAGGACTCACGCTCAAACCCGACCGGCTCGTTGGTCTAGGGGTATGATTCTCGCTTTGGGTGCGAGAGGTCCCGGGTTCAAATCCCGGACGAGCCCTGGAGCTTCTGCCGTTTTTCCTTCTCAGGATGGTCAGGTTGTTGCAACCCAAGGAGGCCAAGGAGAGCGGGAAGGGGCCTGCACCCATTATTCCAGGGCCCAGCCCAGTAGATGACAGCGACTGCAGGACCTTCTGGTCTGTAGGGCTGGCCTGAGCCTGCACTCACCTCTGCTTAGCCAAACATCCCCATGCTTTGCCATGGAGTGGAGCAAGGACAGATGGGTGTGTCCCTGGACTGCAGGTCCCAGTGTTCTGGGGTGGAGGGAAGTGGCAGGGTGCCCAGCACTAAGGGCACCCCAGGGGAATGGTCTTCAGACAAGATGGAGAGTTGACATCCCAGACCCCAGAGATGAGGGCTCACTCCTCCCTGGCCAAGGGCTGTCTCACCCACGAAGGGAAATGCAGGCTGTGCGTCAGGTAAGTGAGGGACAGCAGAAGTTAGAGTCACCAAGGACCACCAGCCAAAGGGACTGTTTTGGCCTAAGGATGTTTTTCTTGCTTAAATGTGAGAGGTGCCAAATTCAATGCCAAGAAGCCTCCTTTTCTGAAATAGGCAGTGTGGGGCCTGGCTGTGATGCCTTTGAGGACCAAGAGGGAGGGACACCTCTGGCAGGCCTGGGGTCTTGAGCCCTCAGTGTTGAGGATGTCTAAGAGCTTGGGCTTGCTGGGTGAGGGTGTCACTCAGACACAGACAGGGCCCTCCAGGTGGGACTGGGCTCAGGGTGCAGCCACCTCCAGAACAATCACCCCCAAACTCCCACCCAAGGAGCCACCAGCTTGAGCTCCCTCTGATGCCAGCTACTTCTGTTCTTAAAGCACATGACTCGTATACTCAGGGTGATGCCTTTGACCTAGTTCTGTGGTTCCCAAACTGTGTGTGGAGGCACATTTATAGTATGTTTGAATTTCCAGGGACATTTTCAAGTTTTGAGGGAAACAGCGATACTCAACATCCATCAGACACCATAGCTTAAGGCAGTTCAGTTTCAACTTTTGATGATGCTATATTTGTGCTAAGCTGTGATAAAAAGCAAGCACCGCCGGAGAATCGATGTGGAATAGGAACTGGGAGCAGCAGTATCCAATCTGACTCCAAGGCTGGAGAAGCTGTACAGGGCCCTCAAGTGCACATATCCCATTAGAAAATAATTATGGTTACTTAAAAGAAATATAAAAATATTTTTTTTCAAAAAGGTACTGTACTGGGTTGAATAGTGTCCCCCTCACACTTACTGCCACCCAGAACCTCAGAAGGTAGGGTCTTTGCACATATAATTAGTTAAGGTGCCATCCTACTGGAGTATGTGGGCCCTAGCCCAATGACTGCTGTCTTTATAAAAAAGACTGTATGAAGACAGAGAGGCTGACAGAGGGAAGAGGGCCATGTGATAATGGAGGCAGAGACTGGAGTGATGGGTCTACAAGCCAAGATGGCCGGGAGCCACTAGAAGCTGGAAGAGGCAAGGATGGATTCTTCCCTACACCCTTTAAGAAGTGTAGAAAACGTGGCCTGCTGGCACCTTGACTTTGGGCTTCTGGTCTCCAGAACTGTAAGAGAATAAATTTCTGTTGTTTTAAATCATCCAGATTGTGGTAATTTGTTATGGCAGCCACAGGAAACTGTTACAGGTACTGAGTTGGTAAGACTTTTTTTTCCAAAAAGCTACTAAGGCGTATGGACCCAAGTACCTCGTAAACTGAACTGTTATTTCTTTCACCCAAAGAACACCAGGAAAAGATGCTGAGACTAAGGGGGCCCTGAAGGGAGAAACGTGGAGAACTTCTGGCCTGAGTCCAAGCCACAGTCCTGGGACCTGGAGTTCCAAGGTTCCAGGGGAAGGGCAGGGACAGCTGCTTTGGCGTCTCTCTGAGAGAAGCCTCGGTTCCCACTAAAAAAGAAAGAAAACTCGGTCCTACCAAACGTTGAACCTGGCCTTTTAACAACCTGAACCGTTGAAGGAAAACAGAAGAAAATCAGCTGATGGAAACCATACACCCTCCTTCTCCCTCTTCCCCAAAATTGGGAAATGAATGCCTGTGTCCATTTCTCTTTTATTGGGGAGAGTGGAGCAAGGTTGAGAGGTCACCGACTTCAGGATGGGGGTAAGGGAGGGAAATTCTGAGCAGTTCCTCCTTAGGAGTTGGGGTGGCCCTGCTTCGGAGCCTCGTCCTGGGGCTCCACTTACCTCGGTCCCAGCCCAGCTCAGGACCTGGAGAGTCACCCCCATCAATTCCCTTGCCACACACAGATAGTCCCGGGGGCGGGTGTCCTGGAGTTCCCGGAGCTCTGGCTGCAAATCCTGTTCTCAGTCAAATGTAACAGCCCAGTTCGTTCTCAGTTTACTCAGTCTAAGAAAAGATACAGCTGCTGTATGCCTCCTGGGGCCATGTATTCAAAAGCTGGTTGGTGGGCCCAAACATTTAAATTGCTTCGCTCAAGGTGGAGAGTGAAGTCGGCACCCAGAGGAGGTTTGAAGCTTCAGCGAGCCATACTGCAATGCCAAAGTCCCACTGGCAGCATCTACGACTGGCCTATATCGTTAAAAGCCTCTCTAAATGGTTAATTTCTGAAGTATTTTTTTTGTTGCGTCCTCGTATGGCATCTTTGGCAGTTAAAACTGCAAGCCCAACATGGGACTTGAACCCACAACCTTGAGATTAAGGGTCTCATGCTCTACCAACTGAGCTAGCCGGGCAAAGGCAGTGGAGGTCCTGGCCGTCCTGTTGTTCAGAGTTGGAAAGGCAGACGCTGCAATACCTGGCAAAGGTGTGTCTGGCCTTGGGAGAACCATGTGGCAGAGGTGTGGCTGTCCCCAGGGTTGGCGCTCTGGGCTTTCAGGCAGCCAAGCACAGCCCCTACCCGAGACTCTGGAACCCGGGACCTGGTGTCCCCCTCATTCTCAGCTGGCTGTCAGCAGAGGGAATCCTTTAACCTCAGGGTTAAAGTGGAATTTGTCGCCTGGGGCCATTAGCCACAGCCCTGGGTTGGGACTTTTCAAGGTGGTCCTTGCAGGGTGGGGAGGGAAAGAAACAACCCCTCTCCAGGGCCCAAGTACGGTTCAGGGGAGCCTGCGTCCAGACTCTCTCTGCTAGTCTAACTCCAAATCTTTGCCCGATATTGGGTCGGCCTGTTGATGGCTCCAGTTCGTTTAAAACGACCCAAAGAATCAGCCCCCTCCCACTTCCCTCTGACCTACGTGCAGGGTGGACAGAGAGGCCCATGAAGTCCCAGTGGGGAAGGCTCATGGGTCGTTTTTGTTCGTTCCAGGGTAGGATCCTCGAATCTGTGAATCCATGGAGCCACAGCTCTGCCCGGCATAGCCAATGTCTTGGGAATATCTTGGAAAAATCCGAACCTGGTCCTGGGTCCCTGCCCAGGATGGCTTGGCTGTCCAGAAGGTCCTTGGGGCAGGGGCTCATTGTCTACCATTCACGCACGGGAACCACCCTGGGGGGATTCCGCCCCTGGGGTTTGCGGGGGAAGAGGGACTTCCCGTAGCTCTGTTTCTGACCTCCCTCTGCTTCCCCCAAAATCCCAGACTCTAGAAAAGCTGCCACTACTGAAAAGTCAGAGGGCTAGTTGGAAAGAGAAGCCTGGGACAGGCCTGGGACTCCACTACTCTCCCCCCAAGTACCAAAGATGACAGCCCCAGCCTTAGCAAAGTAACCAGACATCCCCCCAGTCCCCCAGCCTTGGGGGTCTGTAGGAGGATCTAAGATGTGCCAATGCCCAAAGCTGAAGCTCATTTGCCCCAAGCCCCTGACAACAGAAACCTTCTTCAAGACCCAAAATGCACCCCCTCCACCCAGTGGAGCCAGGGCCCATAATCCCTGGCTTAAAAGGCTGGTGAGACCCCATTAGGCCTTCCTCCTCACCCAAGGCTGTGCGCTTCCCCTCCTTCTGCCCTCAGGCCTCGTAGCAACCCCCCTACAACTACATGCACCCCTGTCAACCCCACCTACTCTTTGCCCACTCCCTCATCTCCCCCTCCTCACTCCTCTCCTGCGCCAGGACTGGAACCAGCCTCCTTGCCCCAGCCCATGACCCCTCCTTCCAGGTCTGCGCCTCTCCGTGCTCAAAGATCACCGCCTCTCCGGGCAGGGCCAGTCCCCCCACATCTGCTCCCTGCGGAGTTCCCAGCACAGCGCCTGGCTAAGAATGGGGCGGGGCAGGGGGGCGGCGACAGAGAGTTCAAGGGATGAATGGAGAATGGAGCCACAGGGCACGGTGGTGGGTAAGGTCATCAAGGCAGCAGGGACAAGAGGCACCCAAGAGGGTGGTTGGTCCACGGGCCTCCTTCTCATCTCAGGTATGTGAAAGCCCAGCGGAGTCTAGACTTGAACTCTTCTGAACATTTTCGGGTGTGGGCTGAGATGTACCGGGAAGAGCGGACTGGGGACCCTCTGCAGAGCTCTGGGGAGGACAGAGCCCCCGGGGCTGGCAGAGGTGGGGGCTGCGGACGAGGACGCCAGCTCAGGGATGGAGGCTCCTGAGGGAGGGGCCGGGGAAGGCTCAGGCCACAATGGTTGGTCCTCTAGGGTGACCGGTGCGCCTGACCCCTAAACCTCACGAAACCCACACTTCTCCGAATCCAAATTCTCTTCCAGTCGGAACAGAGTGGCAGCTGCGCCGCGCTTGGGACAGAGGAATCTGGGAACCGAGGCCCCAGCTCTGCCCCGAGCCTTGGGCAATGCAGAGAAAGGATTCGCAAGTTCCTCTGCGGTGGAGGCCTCAGTTTGCGGGGCCTGGAGAAGCGAGCGGAGCCCAGGAGTAGGGGAGGCAGAACGGAGTCCTGGACCCCCAGAGCTGCAGTCTCCGGGACCGGGCACGACACGGTCGGCGACACTGAACCAGCCTCCCCTCCAAGGCTGAGAGCTGAACACACCCAAGTCTCCTGTGGGGCCGCTGTCCTGCGGACACTGTGGCGGGACAGGGAAACGCGCCTGAAGATAACCAAGAAGGAGCACGAGCAAGCGGAGGCTTAAACCGGGGATGGCTCGTTGGTCTAGGGGTATGATTCTCGCTTAGGGTGCGAGAGGTCCCGGGTTCAAATCCCGGACGAGCCCTATCATTTTTCCTTTTCTTCTCCCAAGCTCTCCCAGCTCAGGGCCTCCTGCGGAAACGAAATCTGGCTCTGATGTACCATCGCCCACCCAGCCCGCTGCCCGAATGGAAGGGCCAGAGATCCTTAATCTCTGAGTCCTGAGTTTGAGCTCCACACTAAGTAGTTTAGACTACCTGCGGAGAGGCGGATCTCCACCCGCAGCCAGGCCACACAGACGGCGGGGCCGGGCCGCAGCCTCAGCCGGGGACCAATAGCCCTCCGCCCACCCCTCTGCAGCTCCTGCACTCCCAGGTGGGTTTCCCCGCCTGGCCGCCAGGGGGAGCGCCGGGCCTGCGCTGCTGCGCTGGGAAGCCCGAGTCCTCCCCGCGCACCAGCTGCAGGAGGACAGGAGCCCAGGTCCAGAACGCCCCCTAACTACGTTCCGGGTGAGCCAAGCTCTGGCCGCTGGCCTGCACTGCTTCTTTTGTTAATGACCAGTGCGGGGTCGGGGAGGCTCCTGCGACCTCCTTCCCACCTGCCAAAAAGTGGAGAGCAGCGCGGGTGGGTAGGGCCTGCCCTGAGCGTGCACCTCACGAAATGGACCCCTTAACTTCGGTCTCAATTTCTCCCCACTTCCTTTTCCCCTTCCTAGGATCTGAACAGAAACTTCAGGGCCAGTTCAGCCTGTGGCCCAGCGCCCGGCAGTCAGATGCTGGGCCGCCCAGTCAGAGCGCCAGTGCTCTGCATTACGCCATCCTCTAACGGTGGACATTGACGTTGCCCCAACCTTCTCTTTGTCCAGTAAGAGGCGCCCCTCCTTTCCTCAGCTGGGGGGTGTCAGTGGAGGCCTAGGGGGGAGCATGAACTCCCATTCCTGCCCAGCAGTAAGGAGGCCCCACCAGACAACATGGTGGTGCCCTCTTTCCCCACCAGAGAGGCACCTTGTCCCAGGAGGCTGCTAAAGCAGAAGATTTAAATAAAATCTAGAGTCTCATACCACAATATTGAAAATATCTAAGATGCAATTGAAAATCACTGGTCAAACCAAGAACCAGGAAAATTTCCACTAGAAGGAGAAAAGACAATCGAGAGAGGCAGATACAGATGTTAGGACCATCAGACGAGGAGGGTAAAGCAGCCATCCTAAAAATGCTTCAAGGAGCAATTACAAACCACTTGAAATAAATTCAATAATTGAAAATCTTAAAGAAATAGAAGATATAAAGAATAATCTAATGGAAAACTTAGAACCAAAAAATACAATAACTGGAATAAAAAGCTTAATTGATGGGTAACAGCAGAATGGACAAGACAGAAGAAAGGATCAGTGAACTTGAAGATAGAAATTATCCAATCTAAAGAACAGAGGAAATACACACAAAAAACCCAAAAACCCAAAAACCGACAAAACACAAAACCTCAGGGATTTGTGGGGCTTTAACCAAATCTCTAATGTTGGAGTCATTGGAGACCCAAGAGAGGAGAAAGATGTAGCTAAATGGTATTACAAGAAATAGTAGCTGAAATCTGCCAGTGTATTTTTTAAAAATAGACTTTATTTTTTAGAGCAGTTTTAGGTTCACAGCAAAATTAAGCAGAAATACAGAGTTTTCGTAAACTTTCTGCCCCCATACACTCACAGCTTCCCCCATTCCCATGGATTTTTAAAACCCATCTCCCTCTTCTTTTTTCTGATGTATTTAAAAGCACATATAGTATCGATTCACTCATAAAAACTTTTTACTTTTTTTAAAATATCTCTACAAATAGAGTTTTATTTTAAAATACCCGCACTGCCATGCGCACATCCTACAACATTCACCACGACACCTTAGTATTCGCTCGTCTCCAGTCCATGTGCGGGTTCCCGGCTACCTCTTAACCTCCTCTCTGTGCTTGGTTGGCTGTCTTCAGGACGCAGGCCAGGTCCGCACCTCGCAGCTGGTGGAGTCTGAAATCTCTGTGGATTCTCAGCAGATTCTCCGAGGCGCCCCCACTCCAGAGTGTGGGGTGGGGGAGGAAGAGAGAACCGCTGTCCACTGTTAGCTGAAGTTCCTCCCTGCTCTGGAGGGGCAGGCCAGCAGCGGGGCGCGGCGGGCGATGCCTCAGCCCAAACCCACCCAAGTCTCACGCCTGCCGTGCAAGGACCGCCCCGCTCCCTGCGGGGACGCCTTCGCTCCCGCCCCTGAAGCCCGGGAGACTGGACGCGGAGGCAGAGGTCGGGAGGCAGGTGTCGCGGGGGGCGCCCCGGGGTCTCAACCTCCACCGCCGTCCACGGCCGGGTGGCAGGTTCCAGAAGCTCAGGATCGCCCAAAGGGCAGACCGGGAAGGGTTGGGGCAAAATAATTTTAAAAAGTGTTTTTAATAAAAATAAATTGATTTTAAATAATTCAAAGGAAGCATAGATGAAGTTATGCGAACAAGTAGAATCCAGCGGGTCTAACAATTATTGGAAGTTCACGGTTTGTTTGACCACATACGGGTGATGGGCCCCATTGTCACTTCCCCATTCCGAGCCGCTGTCCGCGCGCCGCGGGATCAGCTCGGGTGGTGGGTCGCCCTGAGTCCCGTCCCCGCCGCAGGGCTCCCGGCGGCCGCTGAGCAGCTGTCCTCCCCTCCATCGGTCGGTGCGCCGCGTCGTCTCCCACCCG